CAAGCAAACAAGCAAGCAAACAAGCAAGCAAGCAAACGCACTCAAAGAAACAAAGAAAGAAACAATCAACAAAGAGACAGGGACAGAGACAGAGACAGAGACAGAGACCGACAGACAGACAGACAGATAGACAGACAGACAGGCCGACAGACAGACAGACAGACAGACGGACAGACGGACAGACGGAGACAGACAGGCAGGCAGGCAGGCAGACAGACCGACAGACCAATAGACCGACACAGGGAGGGAGGGAAGGAAGGAAGGAAGGAAGGAAGGAAGGAAGGAAGGAAGGAAGGAAGGAAGGAAGGAAGGAAGGAAGGAAGGAAGGAAGGAAGGAAGGAAGGAGGGGAAGCAAGCAAGCAAGCAAGCAAGCAAACCAACCAAGCAAGCAATCGAACAAGCGCAAAATCAAGACAAACACACACGAACAACCAGTCAATGAATCAATGAATCAACGAATCAATGAATCAATGCATCAATGAGTCAATGAGTCAATGAGTCAATGAGTCAATGAGTCAATGGGTCAAATCAGTCAATGAGTCAAAGATTCAATCAATGAAAGAACCAATGAACCAGTCAATCAATGAATCAAACGAACCAACAAACGAACCAACAAACGAACCAACAATCAAGCAAGCAAGCAAGCAAGCAATCAGGCAAGCAGTCACAGACACAAACCCGCAAACACAACCACGCGAAGACACAAAAACAGGCAGACACAAACAAACACAAGCAAGCAAGCAAGCAAGCGAGCGAGCGAGCAAGCAAGCAAGCAAGCAAGCAAGCAAGCACGCACGCAAGCAAGCAAGCAAGCAAGCAAGCAAGCAAACGCACAAAGAAACGAAGAAACAAAGAAGCAAACATATAAACATAGAACATACAGACGAACAAGCAACACACACACAAGACCAACAAACAACAAGCAAGCAAGCAAGCAAACAAGCAAGCAAGCAAGCAAGCAGACACGCAAACAAGCAAGCAACCAAGCAAGCAAGCAACCAAACAGACAAGCAAACAAGCAAGCAAGCCAGCAAGCAAGTAAGCAAGCAAACAACTTTGCAACAAACGAAAGCCAAACAAGGAACCAAACCAAAAAGAACACCGCACACAGTCCAACCACGCGACAAACCAACCAACCAAGCAACCAACCAACCAACCAACAAAACAAACAAACAAACAAACAAACAAACAAACAAACAACAAACAAACAAACAAACAAACAAACAAACAAAAACACAAGAAACACAACACACACACACACACAAAACACAAAACACACAACACACCCAAACACAAGCAACCACACAAACAAACGCACAAACAAACAATCAATCAATCAGCCAAGCAAACAAGCAAACAAGCAAACAAGCAAGCAGGCAGGCAGGCAAGCCAGCAAGCAGGCAAGCAAGCAAGCAAGCAAGCAAGCAACAACTGACAACCAACAACAAGCAACAACAACCAACAACAACCAACAACAACCAAAAACCAACAACAACCAACAACACCCACAACAACAACACCAACACCAACAACAGCACCAGCACCAACACCAACACCGACATTAACACCAACACCAACACCAACACCAACACCAACACCAACACACGCACCAACACACACACACCAACACACACACGCACGCCAACACGCACACACACCAACGTACCAACGCACCAACGCACCAACGCACCAACAAACCAACACACCAACCCACCAACACACCAACGCACCAACACGCCAGCAGCACCAACACCACCAACACCAACACCACCAACACCAACACCAACACCTTCAACACCCACACCACCACCACCAACACCAACAGCACCAACACCACCAACAACAATAGCACCAACAACAGCAACACCCACACCAACAGCAACACCAACACCGACAACACCAGCGCACACGCACCAACACACACATACCAACACACACACACACCAAGACACACACACACCAACACACACACACCAACCCCAACAACAACACCACCACCAATGCCAACAACACCAACAACACCAACAACACCAACAACACCAACAACACGAACAACACCAACACCAACACCGACACCAACACCACCAACACCAACACCAACACCAACAGCACCACCAACAACAATAGCACCAACAACAGCAACACCGCCAACACCAACACCAACGCCAACACTAACACCAACACCAGCACCAGCACCAACACCAACAACAACAGCAACACCAACAACAACAGCAACACCAACAACAAAACACCAACAACAACACCACCACCACCAACATCCACAACCACAACAGCAGCAGCGGCAACAGCAGCAGCAACAACAACAACAGCAGCAACCGCAACAACAACAGCAACCACGCCCATAACTGCAACAACAACAGCAACAGCAACAACAGCAACGGCGACAGCGACAACGACTGCGACAGCGACAGCAACAGCCACAGCTACAACAACAAGAACAACAACAGCAACAGCAACAACAGCAACAGCGACAGCGACAGCGACTGCGACAGCGGCAACGACAGCGACAGCAACAGCAACAGCAACACAGCGACAACGACAACGACAACGACAACGGCAACAACCACAACAAAAACGACAGCGACAACGACAACGACAGCGATAAAGACAACAACAACGACAATGACGACGACAACGACAACAACAACACCAAACAAACAAATGAACAAACAATCGAGCAATCAAGCAAGCAAACCAAGCAAATCAAAGCAGAGCAAAGCAAAGCAAAGCCAACCAAATCCAAGCACAGCCAAGCACAGCCGAGCCAGCCAGCAAGCAGGTAAGCGAGCGAGCAAGCAAGCAACCACGCACACACATATTTGTCACAGTGAAAACATTTGCTTGCTTAGTTGGGTGGATCCCTTTCCTCGTAAAGAATTGTTTTCCTTCAAGGGAGCCATTTGTCAGGGAACGCCTGAGGTTCAGTACGTGCCAGGAGCGCATCTGCCAGCACCGGCAGGGCTTGAAGGTGGGGCCCTGCCACCTCTTCTTCGGCGCCCGCTATGCGGCAGCCACTCGGATCGCTCGCTGTGATTCGCATGGGAATCCTGAGAGGGGGGGTGAGCTTCTGCCAAACATCAGACATAAAACCACTGGTCCGTACCAAGTTTGTTGGAGGGGAGGGTGAGGCGGCAACTTTGCGTGGGAGGAGCAAGAGGAAGGGGCTTGTTGGGACAAAGCGATCAATCTGTGCAAAGATGGAATTGGGTTGACCTTGTAACTTTTGACCCCCCCTTGTTGCGGAACTTTACTTGTGCCGAAAAAGGAGCTGATTTGCAGGGACACAACGAGCTCAGGAATACCTCTACAGAGACGAGTTTGAGGGCTACGTCAAAGAGGGCGTGCTGTCCATGCACACTGCCTTCTCACGCGAGCAGGCGCGGAACTCACCTGATGCCGATTTGCCATTGCGCAAAGATCTGCTTGCTGGTTGGCAGGCATGGTCAGGAACCCCTTACTCCCCCAAAAGGACACTCTTCTGAGTTGAAACTTCAAGCCGTCCAGCATCATGATAGCAGCCTCGTCGGAGGCAACTGCGCGTTGAGCCCACAGACCTGTGACGTACTGGCTCTCGTGGCCCCGCACAGACATTCAGACCCACACAGCACTCAGACACTCAGACCCGGACCTCCGCATACCTGGCCCTAGAAGTTCCACAAAGTTTTGCCTTGCAGAGCATTCAATTTTGGAATAGGTGAAATCAGACTGGCGGAGAACATGCCACGTGCCAGACAGGAAGTATACCACAAGAAGTTGTACAATGCGTACGCCAGCCAAAGGAGTGCCATACGTATGGCATTCTTTTTTAGGCATTCTGTTGTGTGTGTGTGTGTGTGGAACTTTGCGTCTTGCATGGCAATGAGTATGGCAGCATAACCCAATTTTCCCATGTCGGTATTTGTCCATAAATTTCAATGATGGGCACACCCTGAAGCTTGTTGGTGGGTTTCACTGTCAATGTAAATCTGCGCAGCTTGTAACGAGCTCACCTGAGGGTATGACGAGCTCGCCCAGATGAAAGTGCCTTACTTGGGGCGGGGGCGTCTTCCTTCCTGTTTGGGAATTATGACTTGTAACCCAGATGTAAACTCAATTAAGCAACTGATGCGCTTGTCCAGCGCTGGTATGGTGCCAGCCAGAAATCAGGTCTGTTGGGATAGACTTTGGCAACACCAGTGATGAAGGGTTCATTCTTCGGGGGCCTTCCTTCAAATTGGCAAATGATAATTCGCCCAAATAGAATGATGCCTGAAATTTCTCTGTCGGCAACTGTTCGGCAAAAAACGGCAAAGGTGAAAGGCATCGCGAGCCGCATCCTCCCTTTCACCGGCCTTCTTGTACTCTGGCCGCTTGCCCCTCCTTCTCTTTCCTCCTTATTGTCCAGTTTTCAGGTTTCTCAAGTTTTGCTTTGGAACCTTCCAGTCTCTTGGGGATTTGTTCCTTCCTTTTTGTCTGGCTTTCTTCCACAGCAGCTGTGGGATCAGGCCAATTTTGGGTTTGGGGCTGCCCTCCGGGCAAGTAGGTCCCCGGGAATAGATTTTGGCCACTGTTGGGGATACTCCTTTGTGCTTATAGGGGTTGGAGTCTTGGAGCACACGAAGAAGCCTGTTCTCTCGAGGCACGAAAAATCTACGTGCAGCACAAGATCGTGGAGGCCGGCAAGGAGGTGCACGAGTGCATGCTGCAGCAGGACAAGGGTTTGCCGACTGGCTGTTGAACAAAGCACGCTTGGGTAGAGAATGTGTCTGTGTGTTGTTGTCGTCTTCATTCTGGTTTTAGACGCCATGTTGTCACACTGAGCAGACTGGATGATTAGTCTGAACACTGGTTTACATTCCTTCAGGTTACTGTATTCTTTTCACAGTTTCCTTTAAGCTCCTATTGCAATCCTTTGCCAGGCGGCAATTTGCTTGACCAACCGGCCGAAGCGGTTGACCGCGCGCAGGAGGGCCACTTCTACGTGTGTGGCTCCGCGAGGCAGGTGCCAGAGGATATCTACACGGCCATGAAGGAGGCAGGTCAGAGGGACGTGGGGGAAGGGGTCGAAAGGGGTTGGTGGGTTGGATGGGTGTGGGTTGGCGGGTGGGCGGGTGGGCGGGTGGTTGAGTGGTCAGGTCAGTTCGTCGGTTGGTTGGTTGGTTATTTGGTTGGTTGGCTGGTTGGTTGGTTGTTTGGTTGGTGGGAGGCTTGCGTTGATGAAGCCGTCTTCCGAATTGCGCCTTTTTTTCCTCAGGTTTCCCTCCCTTTCATCCGTTTCAAGGCACGAGGCATGCAAAAACCGGCCAGTGCCATAGGGTCGTTTTTAGGTTAGCGTGCTCGAAAATAGGCGGATTCTGCTGGCTTGACTTGGGTTCCAATCGTTTGGGCCATCTATTTTTTCCGAAAGGACAGCTGGGGTCAGTGCTCTATTCCAGGGTCCTCAAGACTTTCAGATTTGAGTCGGTCTTCCCCTGCGGCTCCTGAGGTAGCGGCTAGAATTTGACTACTCCAAACAGGCAAACCCGGAAGCTGAAAAGCATCCTTCCAGAAGGTTTCCCTAGAAGACATGAACTAGATTGTGTGCCAGATCAACAAACTCAGCTACCTAAAAGAAGTGGTAGAAAACTCGCTAATAGGATTTCCTTCTGGATGTATGGTGTAGATGCCATAGTGCAAGACCCATTCGGTTGGTTGCCCTTCGAAGACCAAAAGGGGTCCCAGATTTTGTTTGGGACGTAGATTCTCCAACTCCCCCGCCCCCTTTTTTGACCCCTTTTGGTCGCATCTCCTCGAGCTAGGTGATGATGGCCAACGAGCGAGTGGGGGAGGACGACGCAGAGGCCATTCTCTCCAATCTGAAGATGGAGGGCCGTTGCTTGGCGAAAGAAATGCGCATGTTCATGTGGTATGGAAGGCGGCTCCATATCAATTCCGGGATTTCGCTTGCTGGGTAAGCCGTTGCATGCGTCCCTCGATTTCCAACTTTTTGGACCTCCAAAAGTCGCGGTTGCAGTGGGCTCCACCAGTGAATGGATCAACCTTGATGAACCCCAATGACCCCCAAAAAAGTTTTGTGGGTGAAACATCGACATGGTTGCTTGCCGGCAATCCTGCAGAGAGTACCAAGAAGCAGACTCAGCTACAAAAGACCAGACCCTGGTTTCCTTTCAAAGGAACCCAACGAGGAGCTTGTTTGAACAATCTGGAGTTCCTCGCCTGCTCAACATGGAGCCCCGCAAGCATGTCCATTCGCACGCAACATTTTGGGTAAACCTCCTCCAGTTTCGCCTACAATAGTGGAACGCATATGAAACCGGTCAAGCTTCGGAGCCTGAACAGTGATGAGGGTTCCATGCTAAACCCGGCAAAAGGAACTCCCCCGGAAAGCCGGAGCTTCTGAAGCTTGCCCTTCTCAGGCTACACCGTGGAGGCTTGGTCCTAGGTGACGCGCATGCATGCGGGAGCTTTGGGAAAGTTGCAGAAAAGTCAGGCTCAGATTCTCAGAGCTCCGGCAAGGTTTCTTTTGTTCCGCTGGGCAAATATTTAAAGTAGGGCGACTCAGTTGGCAGCATGGTGGTATATGCCATGGCATGTTGGCCTGTCTGTTGAAACGCTGCACTGCTGAGCGCCCCTCCCGGCCTCAACACCAGATTGTCGCCGGAAGTCAGCTTACGTATTTCCTTTGTGCAGGCGCCGCTTCTTTGAATGCCAGCACTGGGTGAGTTCCGACGTTCATGAAACACATGATATGACTTGTACAGACCGAGCACAGTGCTGGGCCGGCAGCGGCGCGTTGCTAGTTTGCTAGTGGGTCGTCTTTTTGGCAATTGGCTGCCCCGTGGAACATCGGGCACAGGGGTCACCAAGATGCCGGGGGCCTCAGGTGTTGAAAGCAAGGCGTCAGTGATCAAATCCCTGTGAAGACGATGTCCGCACAGATTCCCCAATAAGAGATAATACGCAGCTGCAAGGCAGAACTTTGCCTCAAGTTGCGCAGAGAGTGGGTGAGCGAAGGTCAAACCGAGGCACAGGCTCTCAGTTTGGCTCAGCTTTGTGGGGTGAACCTGAGTGGTCAGCACATTCGCCCAGCAACATGACACCAGGAAACTGATGACAACTCAATACTATGGGTGTGGCTTCTTTGAGGTACCGGGTACCCTTTTTGGCCTTATTGCGGTTTGAAAATGGAAGCTAGCCATTTTGGGGGCTCCCCCAATTTGGAGAACCCATAGGTGGTTGCATGGCGGGTGAGTGAAGATATCTTTTGTGCACAGGGGCCTGATGAACGACTGGAACTAGGCCGGCCGTTGAAGCGTTGTATGCTTGACGTGGGTGTGTCTGTTGAATGGTACGGGGGTTGCTCGTTTTACCTGTGGTCGTGGCAAGTTACCCAAATGCGTGTTCTCCAACGCTAAATTGGTCACTCATGTCTGCACCTAGACCTGGAATCCACACGGGTTTGTCTCAAAATGGAGGACCCCCAAAAATTGGGTGCCCAAGCTACCTCACTTGGGCTTCCTTGTTTCTGTTGTGTGAATTAGAGACATTTGCCTAGTCCCAAAGTATTTTGACAGCGCCCTGCGCATTTGTTTTTTGGGCGGAGGGTATGAAGGGCCACGTCATTCGACCCGTATTTGGAGAAGGGAGGGCGGAGTAGGGGGGTTCGCAAGTAGCTGATATGTTTCAAGTCCCCCCCCCCCACCCCGTTTTGGGCATCTATGCAAAGCCATATGGATGTTTTTTCAGGGAACCCTTTCACCGCTTCGGGTCGCCCCCTATTTTGACATATTCCCATGGTTGTGGATAAGCGATGATGGTTGATTCCTTGTTGGTTTTGGGTTGCAGTGGACAAGGCTTTTGCTTCGACAAAACAGTAGGGAATCAGCCACCTTGGTATCACAGGAAGGCTTATGTTTGCCGCAAGAGGAAGGGGGAAAATATGAACATATGTTTCAACATTTCTAACGGGGAACGAACCACAAGTCGTTCAAATTGGTGCTTCAGCCATGCTTTCCCTTGGGTCTGAGCTGTCCAGCTTTCCGAGGTCTTGAGCTGCCCCCAGATTGCTTTTTGGAGTTAGCGCTGGCGCTTGGAGCTGAGCGTCCTCGGGACGCCGGATGAGCGCATAGGAAGCGCACTTTTTGGGCCGCCTGGCATGGTGCGAGAGAAGGAATATGTCCAAGGGTACCCCGAGCCTCGTAGCCCTCACCTGCCCGGAGCTTTGTGAACGCCCCTTTTGCCCTTTGACAAGGCCTTTCGAAGCTAAACCAAAGGCAAGCCACCCGTGTTGCGACAGACCCAGTTTGTGGTATTCATCCAAGGTTCCCATCATGGGATTGACCTTGTAACATTTCATGGAAGCCGCTGTTCGGCAAAGATGATTGTCAGAATTGGCAAGCACAAGGTGAGTGCTTACTTGCGTTCCCTTTGCGAATGAAATGTCAGGCTGCCCAACGCCTGCCGGCAAGGTTCTGGCAAGCATCCGCACCGCATGTCGGGAAGACCTTTCCCGCCCGAAAAGGGGGGCCAGAAACAAAACCATCTCAATGACCCTATCCTAAAGACCATGCAACTTGTTTGAATGCTGTGCAACACGTTTCTGGCCCTTCCACACGTTTCTGGCCCTTCCACGGGGCGTGGGCAGGCAATCGCATTTTTGTCGGAAGCTTCTTCACCATCGAAAGAAAGGGGCGTTGCTGCTTGCACGCTGGAAAGTGCAACTTGGGATGTGGGAGTGTGTCAAAATCAGGGACCCCTTGAAAAGCTATTCCCGCCAGTCCCTGCTTTTTCCACAGCCGCATGAGTGGCTGGACTCTAGGTGGAACTTCTTGTCAGCCAATCCGTGCGAAGGACCGTCGCCATGCGCAATGCGAGCGCCAAGGAATCCGTGTTGCTCGCTTCAAGCAGCACGGGCTCCGAATCCAATCGCGCGCAGCGAGCTTTTCTTCGGCTCGCTTCCGCTCTGTTGGGCTATCGCACTGGTGACGCGTGGAGGGCTTCCCTGGTTGCTGGGCAGGACCGAGCGCTTTGGCGAGGGCTTGTCCACTTTTGACGCCTGGAGAACGGGCTGGGACGCGTTGTCCGTATACTCCAAGAGCAAGATTCGGAATCTGTGCCTGTTAAGTGATTTCAGTTTGGTTTTCATGTACTAGCGCAGAAAGTCATCCGGCTTGTGGATTGAACCTGGGCATATGAGCAATGGCGTGCATGCCACGCACATTGCCAGTGAACCTGCGCCTTCACCACGAACATGTCAGACGCCGCGACGAACAACATGTCTCAGATATCTAGATTGTTTGAGACTTGCTCAGAACCACTCCTTGAACAGAGGTCAGTACTCTTGTGTGCGTATTGTTTGCGCGTGGGTAGTGCCACAAACAAGTTGAGAGGCTTGCGGGCTTGCGTTCGTGGTGGTCGTGGTTGTTGTCGTTGTTGTTGTCATTCTCATCCCCGCGTGGTTGTGGTTGTGGTTTGTGGTTTTTTGGTTGAGTCCAAACCTTCGTTGCTGGATTGGGGCTTCTGCCGCGCTGTGCAGGTTGTGAGAACAGGAGTCCGGGCTAACACAAGCTCAGCTCGCGTTTTGTCAAATAGGGGTGCGGCTGAGGCACGTCCCCGCGGTGCAGCCATGTCTTTCAGTTGCTCCGGCCTGATTTCACCGCAGATTTCGCTGTCGCTCATGACGCAGCCTTGCTGGATTATTGTTCGGACTTGTTGCAATGCGGCCCTTTGCGCCTGGCGTCCCCTGAGAGGACAGCTTGTCCGCACAGCTGCACACCCAGCTTGACGGCTCTGCCAGTTGCTTGCTTGTGTCGCAGCAGGGCCCTTTGCCGGTCGGCTGTCCACCGTCCGCTCCCCTCAGTTGTCGGTCCACACTTGTTGCGCAAGCTTGCCCTTCGCCTTCGACAGCTCCGACTCCCCCTTCATCTGCGAATCGTTGCCTCCGACCCCTTTGGCGACCAGTGCGCAGCGTGCGGTCGGGCTGGATTGTTGCGGAGCCGCGGTTGTTCCCTTAACCGAACGGCCGCTTGGGTCTGCCGCGAGGCGGGCGCTCCACAACATGAATCTCCCGGTCGACCGTTGCCTTGAGTTTATCGCCCACGGCCTCCCCTTTTCGAAGGGAGCTCAGATTGCACCTGGGCTGCCGGCGAGGAACGTGCCCAATTTCTCAGAGCTGCTGCGCGCCCAAATTCCAGCATCCGCTCAGGAAACGTTGCTCGTGCTGCTTTTTGGGGAGGGTTGGCGGCGCAACTCGTTGCAGCGGCTGGGCCGGAGGCCAGCACACGGGCCACGCAAAGCAAAGTGCGGGAGGCCCCGGGCCTGCACACCAGCAGCGCAGCTCGAGGCGACTCAGTACTGGGGCCCGGGCAAAAGGTAGAGGTAGCTGGTGGAGGCGCCTGAGCACGCAGGGGCCAAGCCAGCGCACCGAGCGCACAGCGGCGCCTCCCGCGATGAAAGTTCGCCTCGCTCAGCTTCAGGGTTGTCGCAAAAGCGGGGCGCCTCTCGGGGTCAGTCAGCGCCTGGGGTGTGTCCGCCGTGCCTGGCGCCGCCGCCGCGGCTGTCAGCAGTGGCCGCACTCAGCGCAGCAACGCGCCCCTGCCCACGGGTCACGCGCGTGCTGGCCGCGCAAGCAGCATGCGGAGCGTTAGCAGGAAAAGTCTCCACGCGCGGCGGCTGCTGACATTTGGCCAATGCTCGCGGCGCGACCGATCCACCTCAGCCAGAAGGCTCGGCGGACCCTGGCGCGGAGGAAGCCAGGCGTTGCTCAAACTCCTCAACAAGGCCGAAATTCGGCCGAAACCATTGGTCGCCAAGAACTTGCCGGCCAACGCCGAGTCGCGCCCCGGCCGTGTGCCGGCGGGACTAAGTCCGAGTCGGACTCGTCAAGCACGGTGCCCCCCAACATTTATGCCTAAAATTGACTGCAAGCAACGACTGCTTGTGTTGGCAACCCTCGGTCTGCGTAAAAGTCCTAGGCCGGGTTCAAGACCTGGGTGTTCCGCGCAACGCCGCCCCGCGAACCTACTTGAGCGCCGTTGGGCCGCCCCCGCTCGCGTTGCAAATGCCTGCATAGGCGTGGGCAGCGCCGCCAAAACAAGCTGTTGACGCTGAGCTCTCTGGCAGCTGCCGGGGCTTCAGAAAAACCAAAACACTCGCAACCACCGCTGCGAGGACCATGTCACAAAGTTGACTCATCGAGGCTTAACTTTTGACTTCCACTGACAGCTTCTAGCAGCATCAGGCGGGGAAAATATATCCTGGTGATCAACCAAGTTGTGAGCTTGCCAAAAACTTTGCCCACCAGCAGCCACGTAATTCTGCCATCCGTAGCTGACTCGCGCCAACCAATGAAATCCAAGCATGTGTTGGCAAATAAACTTTGCGTGCCTTCCTCATCATAGACTGGGTCGATAGACCGCAATCTTTATTTTTTGTCCACGCACCTTGTTCCGCATGCATAGTCAAACCCCCCCCCCCCAGCACAAGGAAACTGGCTTAGGGGTTTGCCCTCGGGCACCACAGGGCCCCTCAAAGAAGGCTTCCAGCTGTGACGCAT